GGGGGGGGGGGGGGGGAGGGTGGGGGAGCTATTGAAATTGCGCTCTGAAACTTACCCTCAAAATAGGAACCGCAACTCATCGCACCTTGGTGCCCTGACATGTAGGACCAACACTCGTCCCTCTCGTAAGATCTAATTTGTTGTAATTATATGTTAACCTGTATACAGTACCGTATTACTGTTCACACTGTAAAGATCTCGTACCTTAATTGTACTGTGTATGCCTCAAGGATAAAGCTGCGGAAGAAGCCCTCGGACTAGTTTTGCTTTACTTCAAACAGAAGTGCCTGCCTGTCAGATATTCGCATGTTGTTGGGCGATGCTGTGACAGGGATCACATACAGTATGGACGAGCTAACTCAGATAGAACTAAGCTGGACGTTCTCTTAACGCGGGCGCCGAAGAAGCGAGTATCGACCGCATCGTTAAGGACTTGGCACTGTGGCTAGATGCATGGGGTTGAGGGACGTACAGGTCGCCATCGGCATGGCCCCAATAGAGCATCAGACCCTCGAGCAGGAGAAAGAATGGTCAAGGTCTACAACTTGATCAAGACAACAGTTGAGAATGTGAGAAAAGTCGTAAACCATGTGCGACTACTCGACGACGCAAAAGCCGGAGATTTGGACCACCCACACAAGTCGTTGGATAGGGTTCTGCATAACGAGCAAGGTCGAATCGGATGCTATGGCACCAACCGATGGCACGAGTATTAGGAAGTTCTGTGTAAGCGAGTAGTCCCGACAGCAGGGAAACCAAAGAATGAAGTTGAGTGGCCTCCGCAGAAAATTAGACACGATGAAGAGGGCAACGCACCGCAGCCCTTCAGGAAAACGATTACTCCGGCACGGCATGGACCACACAAAGGGACAAACCACCACCGAAAAAANGGAAGATGAAAGTTGTAGAGACAGTAAGATTACGAAATATCGTGCTCGGGAAGAGCTGTATATGAAAGAGCATATCTCTCATCCAATGATTCGTTCTCACCGGACTCGTACTTACCCCAGAAGGGGGTAGAAAGGGGTGGGGGAGCTATTGAAATTGCGTTCTCAACAACATCCACAAGAAGAGGAACCGCAACTCATCGCCTTGGTGCTCTGAGATGTAGGAGCTATACTTATCCCTCTCGTAGGATCTCATTCGCTGTAATTGTATCTTAACCTGCCGTATTACTCCTTATTACTGTTCACATTGTAAAGATCCCGCGCCTTGACTGCACTGTGTGTGCTTAGGGTGAAGCTGTTGTTTTGATGGCCTATTCGAGTCCATACAAGGTAACCACCTAATTACACAAACCTTACACGGTCAGTCAACGAAGTTAGGTGTTCTTTCGAACTAAATTCGGTTTTTAGACCCCACCGATGAGCTTTTCTCCACATTCTCTGAGCGAGCGTAGTGAACGAGCGAACAGTGTCTTGCCCTCTTCCCTATTATAGTATGTACCGTTAAAATACTTTCACTATGCCGGGGCAGGTGATCTACAACTTGTGTACGTTCAATTCTGAAGGGAGCAGCGCTCAAAGGTGACTTATGAATCTGTTTTCAAGAGTTTCGAAATCACTCTCATACAAGCAATGTATTACTAGAATTACTGGCGTTCGTTACGATTACAACTCACGTTAGATTCGTTCCGATTGCAGTGCCACATACTCCATTCGGCGAGCCTTCATTGACCGCCATGATTCGACATTCTGGATCGACGGGTATGGATTCATTCTTTAAACGAGACTAATTAGCAAGGACGATGCCAGAAATTTTCATTAACACGCAAATGCAGAAGGGAGTCCGGAGTTCCGCGCTAAGTCAACGAAAGAAGATCAGGGAAGCCGTTGCTCAGGGAAAAGATCGAAGACCAGGCGGGCCGCTTATGCGATATCGTGATGACTTTTGGATCAGGACAGTTACTAACTGAATTCTTTGGACACCAGAACGGCATTCAACGAAAGAAATGCTGAATACGAATGGAGACTTTTCTGGCACCCGCATGAGGAAATCGATTATCAGCGGGACGATAGGTGAACCAGCAACCCTTTCGTTCAAGACATTTAATCAGGGGGAGGGGGTGGGGGGAGGGGTGAATTGTTCTTTCTAGGTTATGCCCCATCCATCGGCTGTGTGGTATCAAGCACTTTTGCATTGACAGAAGTTCGATTCTTTGTACTATCGAGGAATAGCTAATAGATGTAAAGTGGACTTTAATACCCCGTTTTAATAATGTAGGAGATCCTTTAGGAGGAGGTTGGAAATCAAGTCGAGCGGGAAGCTGCGTTCTTCACCTTCTGATTCCTCTAATTCAAACAAACTGAGTAAATGATAGTTCCTTAAAAGCTGCTACATCCAAAAAAAAAATAGAAGAATTATGAGCTTCGGAATGTACCCATAAAAGAAGGCCATAAAAAGTCTGAAGAAGTTAGGGGTAGCAATATTTTGAAATGCCAATCCCTCTTACACCGAGAATCAATCTCGTTTGCTTTACCTTATGTGTTTTTGTACCCAACTTCACTTCTAGGCACGAGTAACGAGATAAACCCCTCATTTGTGCCATATGAGAGATAGACCCTCCTTGCTACCGTGTGAGAGATGATAGTCCTGATACGACCAACTAAAACCGAGTTTCGATGAGCTTAGTGGTGAACAATCGCGATCAGAATACAGAGCAGTTTCTTCAATTTCCCGAATACAAACTAGTTGATAAAGTTCCTTACGATCTTTTACTTTCCATCATTCTACTTCATTCAGCCTTTCATTTACCCTAGAATATTGGAACTGTTTGTCTTGTTTTTGTAAATTACGAACGACAGCTGGTTACCGACTTTAATCATCGTAAAATGAACGAATGATTTTGACATCGCATTTTGAACTCCACATGGATTAGTGCAACAATTTGAAACAAACCGAGTCACGAGCAAGTGAAATTGAAAAGATTTTCGCTCACCTTGAAAGTACATTCGAGTACAGGATTGGGTTCCACATAGGGCATGACGTACATCGCCGCCGAGTAGAAGAAGTTCATGCATTCGGAAAGAAAATAACCAAAAAACTGATATCTGTGAAAGAGCTTCTCATCATAAGAGTAGAGCCAAAGGAATTCAAAAAAAAGCATCAAACTGAGGGTGCTCTTGCACACCTTCCAAAACCATAGGCATCCATCAGTTTGTCTGCATCAAGAGCAGCATAGCGGTCTCGATGAGCCGTATGCTCTTTAGTTCCGTCGTTCTTCACATTGACCGTCTCACTTTGCGTACTTTCCAAAAGGGTTTCTGCTTCGCCATTCGGTTTCTGTCTGATCTGAACTGGCATATCCCATATACCAGGGAAAAATGCAAGGCGTTAAGTTTGTTTCTGTACAAGTTCTACTAACGGAACGGATTTGTTTCTGAAACATCGTATAGGCATGAAATCTACTGTTGAATGGAACGAGGTACAGTAAAAGGCGTACTTTTAAGAAGGTAATGATCAAGGACGAACGTTAGAGCAAACAGGCCCGACCGCGGTCAACTAGTGATAGAGTCTCTTAGGTAATATAAACAGTGCATTTGCGCGGCTGTTGAGTGTAGAAGCGGTCAAGACCTTCCCTTAAGATGTTTCATGGTTCTATGTTTTATGTGGGGACCGGATTTCCGAGGTCTTATTGCCACCACCGCCACCAGCCCAGTACTAGCCCTTCTTCACTGCATTTTGAACATCTCACTTCATTGTTATTTTGTTGTTGTTTTTTTTAATTTTTTGTTGAAAGGCTTTTTCCTTGTACACGTTTATGGAAAAGACCGATGAAGAGATTACATTCGACGCTACAAATTCGCTTTTGACCACTTCTTTTTCAGGTTACTCTCAGAAGACTTCCTGTAGATGAGATTTTAGAACACATAACTGCTAGGTGGCTGTTGGTGGGTTGATGGAGTGGTGTGTGTTTGTTTGTAGATGTATGCGCATGCATGTGTATGCATGACTCAAGTTGGCAGTGGAATGTTGCTACTTCAATAGGTTCTGGGTGAAGGGATTTGGTGAACCGTAGATAACGGCTGAAAGAAAATGATGAGACGGATAAGGCAAGATCCACTTGGCTCCCAACTTCTTCTTCATTTACCACGTAGTGTTTGATATGTTTCCCACTAAAAGTCGGTATTGCAGAGCAATTTGACAGAAAGTGATAGCAGTAGTGACAAGGTCTGATCAAAGCTGGTACGATAATAGGGTAAGGGAATCGGGGTCATTTCTCGCTATCATATAACGACTACTACCAGTCACGGTTCGCCAATTTTCCCTTCTTCGTTTCCAATTTATTTCTCTATTTCAACTTAGCCGGCCACCACTAATCTGAAAAGCTCGACCAATGTCTCATACTCGTGAAATGAAGATGGGCCATGGATAATGGTATTATCTTATCAGTCGGCAACTTTGATAAGTACCATGCAAAGTTTCGAATAAGTAATCAGTCGACCAGTTGAAGAGAAGTCGCTGCAACACAGACTCAATAAAAAAGGGGAGTGACTAATTATGGGGTTACTGTCAAGTTGAAGATTACGAGATTGGTATAAGGGTTACAACCATAGTAGTATTTCTCGAAAATTTTGCGATCAGAAATGTACGATTTGCTTTGAAATAAAAATGGCAGATCAGGCTAGCGTTTCGGCTTGGTCACACGAAGGAGGGTAGCCCAGTGTAGGTGATTCGATAGAAGAACGATGAACATCTTTCAAAAGTGAAGGTATAATGTCTGGGTACGAGTATTCCGAATCAAAAAGAACGATAGGCCAGGAATAAGCAGGCGATCCAACGGTGGAAGGTGCAATGCCTTCTTCACATTGAACTTTCGGTTCTACTACAAAAATACTTCAAACCGCAGTGAGCCGGACCGTCTCTCTTGTGACTCGGAGGACCTATCAACTCAATTGAGTTGCGAGTTTGAGGTCACTATGTAGATGATGGCTTGGGCACTTTTGTCTTAAACATCAGCTACGTCGTACTGCAATAGAACGCAATGTGTAACCGATAGGGAATGGGGCAACTCTTCACAGGCAGGGGAATCCATAAATACATAATTACGTGAAGATAGACACCACCCACCATCAGAGGAACAGTGAAGCAAAATGGAGCACAAATGCCCAACATCAAAAATGTTTTCATCATCCTTCCTTATTAATCCATGCACGTTTGAAAAAAGCTACCTATGCATTATGCACTGAAAAAGCAAGCCATCAGTGCCGTAGAACACTCATTGGGGGCACAAGAGAGTGTGACATTCCTTCGGCTTGAATTCCTTCAGCACACTGAAGACCCTTATCATCACTCTTTTCGTTGTAACTCTGAGCATTAGTTACGAATGTGTTTTTACGAATGTGTTTAAGAACTGTGAAGATCAATAAGGGCCGACGCTTGACTTCATCGTTACTGTCAGAGACCTGATGGTTTGAATTACTGCTTATTGCAAAGTGGAAATCATGCACATTCGAGGTTGTGCAGATTTCGAGTCTCCTAATCAACAAACTTTCGGAGACCAAGACATAAGCATAGAAAAAGAACGCTGCTGTGTGCCAGGGCCGACCGAGTCCGCTGGTAGAAGCAGAGTGCGACCACGTATGTGGCTGTGATAATACAACAGAACCTTGCACAGCAGATTCCGTCCACCTAACTGTGGCACTGAGATGTGGATGGAGAATCGTCGACTCGTTATAACACTAAAAGAACGCTAAAGCTGGAAAAGGGAAATCAGGGCGCAAGCTCCGTGTATGATGGGGAACAGCTTCGCACTCATGCACTAATACCGGTACAGGGACGTGCGCTAATTCTATCTTCTCCTAAACTCGATTAGCACTAAACTCATTGCCAGACCAAAAGTTCCATCATCTTCACAATCGTCAAGGAGGCGGCTACGCAACCTCCTTCATATTTTGAGAACCACTTCGAACCCGTTTCCTTTTAAAAGGAGACATATGGCGGGTGAAACGAAGCACTTCCATCTAAGAAGGAGAGAACGGCAGACAGCGATTCGTGTCACGAGGGAAGAAGGATATCAGGTCGTAGTGGAAATGAAATATACCGCGGTGGGTGTTTTCGAACTCCAATCTGGAACCTGCATTCAAGTCTGTGAAAACATTTAAGATTAAACTTACGGAACTCGATTTTCTTGTTTTATATCGCTGCGTCGTATAAATAATCAGACCGAGCAATTTGTCAGCTGGGCTACGGAGGCGCAGCTGGCAGAGCGGTGGACTAAAGGCATCGCAAGGGGATTCGAATCCTTCATGCATGTGCTCCTGTTTTTCTACGAAATGTCTCCTGAACGCTGCAAACCGCTGTTTTTAGACTTCATCTTGACTATCTCTTACCCTCCCTCACTTTTGGAACACTGGTGATGTATTCCAAAAAAAACTTTTTCGCTCTTAGGGGCCGGATAGGGGTGCCCTCAATTCAGGTGTAGAGCAACAGCGGCACTTTTGCTCAACACGGGCTCCGGGACGGGTTCAAGGAGTAAGGTGTAAAACCATCCAGAGGGTAAAAACGTTCTCCAACATATAACCAGTGAATTGCTCTGCCCAGCGGGGGTCTTATCGTGTTTGTTAGTGGACTATGGTTCCTGCGACATAACGTCTCATAAAGTTCCTCGAAAATTATTGGATTATCATACGTGTTCATGAACTGATTGCCTGATTGTCAAAAGTAGGGAGAACATTAATGGAAAGATTGAAAGGGGAGGGGGAACAGAATCTCTTGCATCTCTTGCAAATAGGGCTCTGGGGTCAGATGAGTTACTCGACCGTCTTCTGCGATGGAGATGCTGAAAATATCGTAACACCAGTTAGAGTGTTTTCCGATTCCGTTACCCCGTTACTTTCCGAAATTAAACTAAACCTTTCATACAGGCCATCCCCCACATCACGCGACGCACCGAATCCCTATAACATGAAATCGCACAGTGATAGTGAGAATAAAGGGTATTTATCGTCACTTCACAGACACTTGCAACTGCAGTATCGTTGATTGCTTGTAACGAGGTATCATCAAAATCAAATATACAATAGCGCTATACACGACTGAATGAAAAAAAAAACGAACAAAAAGAATAGTACAGAAGATGAATATTAGCAACGTCTGATGAAAGGAATAGAAATACTTAGTATAACCGAGTTCATAATGCATTGGAGAAAGTAGGAGCACGGTTATATCGACCAGCAACTTATCAAAATAGAAAAAGAGAAATCGAACAGGATGCAGGACACAACTTCAAGAAATGAGAGAGATTGGTTCTATGTGGAATATTATGACGATTCAGTAACCTAACAACTAAACTAACTGTGAAAGAAATTGAGACCAAAACTGATCAGAAAACGATAGAATACTTTGATGCAACTGTTTATACATGAGGAGACCTCAAAAGGACTTTTCAATAACAACCAACTTCTCGACATCGCTCTTTCCGTTCACGACGTTGATGCCCATGCAGTTTTTTGATATTCTGGCGTGGTATTCTCGTAGTCATTCTCAATACTGTAGTATTTTTGATGATTTTTCTCGAGAAACCCGATGAGATGCTGTGTACACTTTATGATATCCTGAAACACGCAGAAATTACCTAATAATGCTTCCAGCGCTGGTCCACCCGAATGAAATACCTTTAGTAAGACAGTAGGACCTAAGATTTTCCTTAAAGCTTATATTCAAGTTGTATACATGGACGATCAAAACGAGGTTCATCTTCGACTGTTTTGCCTCAAGCTAAGTAACGTAGGAACGAGGTTACAAAAAACCGCTAAGAAGGGACTTTGAGGCTAAATGCTCGACAGAAGTTTCGATGGGCTCCAACAACAGAGTGACCGGACCTCCTAGTCAGATCACTTACTACTACTTTTGGACATGAAGTCAAAATCGGCAGCGACAGTGGAAGCAACCATACCCTTCTTAACGTCCGGAAATTTTGAAATTACAAGAAAAGGGAAGTGTTGAACTGAGTGGTAAGCACTGCCTTGACCGAAGACAACTAAACGAGAACTTGTAGCTTGAAGCATGACAATTATATGAGAACTAACAACTTTGCATTGGAAAACATTGAAAATAAGAAAGAAGCAAAAGAAGATGATGAAGTTTTGACTAAGAAAACATCATGCGGGTGATCGTTTCTGAGCCATTCGAAACGAGAGTGAAATGATTACCTGAGCAATCACCTTAATTTCATGTGACAGTATAGTGCAATATTTCCAGAGGCTCGATAATTGTAGTCTATAGAGAAGGAATTCATCTCCTTGTTCGGACTGCAAAGTCTCCTAGGTCCATTTACACTAGTTGTGTACAATAACAGCGAATTTTGCAAAATAATGTTCACTTCGCTATTCAGTTTCGCTATCTAATTCACTAGATAATGAATCTAGAGAGAACTGCCTGGTGGTTGATGTGAATGTTTGCGTGTTTTATGTCATGAAACCGAGTAGGCGGCACTGAACATCAAATAAGACATGTTCAACATTAACGGCACGTACTACAAGGCAAACCTAACATGAAGAGGTAAAATAGGTTGGACTATGTTACACGCACGTGTCAGATGCTTCTTTCATTCATATCATTGATTACACTAAACACCTTCGGTTGTCAGCAGATGACCACAACTCCAGATCCCAATAATGGCGCACCACAAGCATAACTTGGGGTATGTGCGCCAAAAGAGAAAAAAAAGGCAAGATCCATCCCGCTTCAAAAAGCCAACACCTGTACTTTTCTATCTCAGAGGATCTACAGCCTAACGAGAAACCAGTTTAAAATAAGTACGAACCCCTTATAAAACCATTCACAGCCAAATACATCTAAGGCCGGCATCAATGAAAAATTTGATGATCACGTCAAGAGTTGGTATAGCAACTTACCCGGAAAACATTGTCGTTCCATGGCACGTCGCGGAGAAGAGTAGTGAGCCTGACAATCAACCGAAGCAGATGAGGAAGACCGTAGAGCTTAGACGGTATTAAAGCATTTCCAATCTCATCTAAAAAATACGGCTAATGGTTCAATCCTATTCAGGTATTGAAAAAATGACGAAGCAAACTAACCGGGTGACGACTGCGACTTTCTCTTTCTATGAACCGCTTCAGTTGATCCCACTGCCTTTTCAATTTCAGCTGCATACTGAGGGCGTTCAAACTTGTAAAGAAGCTGATACCTTAAAAAACTTGCTGTCCTTTTTTTTCAAACACCTTTAAAAATATGGTTAAGACATTCAGTATATTTTGCATCTCAAAAACCTTCGACGTTTTTGAGCGTCCAAGTTCGACATTAGATCAATGTCAAGGTCTGCGTATTTTCCAAGATTAAAACTGGTAACCAGCATCTGACGAGAGGGACAAAGCAGAAACGCAAGCCGAATAATAGGTTTTTGATCTTAGTTCTTAGTCAAACACAAATCTTACATCGACATTTTATTTTATGGTATCAAGTGCGGGGTAGCGTAATATTGTTCACAAATGAAATATCGCTTTAGAAGGTGAGAAAGATAACTCTCATCTAAATATTAGGCGCACGCCATTGCGTTTTTGCGAATCAAGCCAATCCATTCCTACAAGATGCCTTCGATACATTCTTGTAAGTGAATTCTATTATTTATGTTCCTTGAAATACCGTTTGACGATAGTGCTAGTCTGTTAGGTTGATTCGATTGCAGTATGTGAGGAACAACAGCGGAATTTGTATGTATCAAAAAGTTTCAGAGATCAGATCTATTGGAACGTACCCTAGCACACCATTGAAGAAATCACGCAATCCAATCGCACTACTTCCCAGTCCTGAAGGGCTATCTGCCACAGCGGAATCGTCGCCTTCTTTAGATGAAAATCCAAGTTCCGCACAATACTGAAGAGGATTGAATGTTACATAATTTTCTGGGCTGAACTTATTTGAATATTATAATAAGAGCTAACATGAGGTTTTTGTTGGAAATTAACTTAATCACGTTCGAATCTCAGGCCTCTCTCAAAACAGCTAAACAAACAGAAAAAAGAAAGCAGCAACACTACTTATTTTTGAGCTTTCAAACTCTGAAGTTCGAAGAAAAAGGCTAAGACAAATGAAAACGCCCACATCGTTAATGATGGTGTCCACTGTATAACGTGCAGGAAGGCGAGAAACCATACGTTGACGGGTCATGATATCGCTATCATCAACGATTATTTGAAGGAGGCAAGAAGGCATATCATTTAGTTTCTGTAATGTATCTTCAAGATTGAAAAGAAAATATTGTGAGGTCGTTCTGCGGAAGCAGGTAGGATTGAAGAAGCGCTTACATCTAATTCTTGAAGAAGAACTGGATCACGTTCTCGAACAGGAGACTTATTTTCTGGCTCAGAGGTACTGGTCGTAGAAGTGGCTGCTGGAGCGTCTGTTCCTGCTTCTGCTCTTTTCTTTGCGATTTTTGCTAGAATACAAGAATAATGAAAACTTGTATGCTCAAGGCTATATAGTTAAACAATTTTGGGATGAAATGACATGCACGAGTGAAAACACAGAAGGCAAATTGTCCGTCATGGGATTGAGTCCTCACTAAGAACAGCCTATACATTCTGCAATAGTGAGAAGTCCGCATTATTTATCTAATTTGTGGTCGCATATGCCGAACGTATAAGTTGGAAGAAATCTGCACTTCTGGTCTCTGGGTTCTGATCTCTTTAGTCTTCAGCGGTCTAATACCTAAACCTNTGGTCGTAGAAGTGGCTGCTGGAGTATCTGTTCCTGCTTCTGCTCTTTTCTTGGCGATTTTTGCTAGAATACAAGTATAATGAAAACTTGTATGCTCAAGGCTATATAGTTAAACAATTTTGGGATGAAGTCAGGTGCACGAGTGAAAACACAGAACGCAAGTAGTCTGTGATGGGATCGAATCCTCATTAAGAACTGCCTATACATTCTGCAATATTGAGAACTCCGCATTAATTATCTAATTTGTGGTCGCATATGCCGAACGTATAAGTTGGAAGAAATCTGCACTTCTGGTCTCTGGGTTCTGATCTCTTTAGTCTTTAGTGGTCTAATACCTAAACCTGCCCATAAACTCAACTGCTACCAAAAACCTGATGCAAACTCCAATTCTGTTGCGCTCCTCAAACTTATTCGCAAGTAGGCAGTTGTTTCACACTAACACAACTGAGGAAGAAAAAGTGTATGCAAAAATTCAGCACCGCTCAGAATGTTTCATCACTAACTTTACACTGTGGAGTTTACGAGAATCACCTCGACATAACATCGAAAAAACTGAGAAAAGGCACTTGGTGAGCATGCAGCAAATTGAAAGCTCTCAACTCGTGCCAGATTTACAAGGGATGCGATTAGATCAAACCGCAGAGTGATGTTATATTGATGTTATCAATATTCCATCGGACTTCTTAGAACTATTAGGTTGATGCATAATTATTGCGAATTTTTTCGCGGCTTTTCTTCTCTCGATAAAATTTGGATATTGAGTTCGGGTTTTTTCTAGAAATTATCTACTCGATTTTCTCTACAAGAATATATTCAAAAAACAAAAAACCAGCATATTCGCGAAATAAGGCTTTACTACATCGAGAAAGATTGGAAGGTGGCGCAGTCATTCCGCGATCTCAGTAACTTTTCGGTGATCGAACAATGAGCCAGAACCAACCAAGAAATGGGATCTGCCCCTAGATCTGCCATATTCACCAGCAGAAACTTTTATGGATTATCTCGTCAACCGTTCATCGAAAAAATGGCTAGAGAATAGAAGTTACGTCGATTTGGATGACTTGATGGCCGATGTTAAGGCGTGGATCGCCCGTAAGGATCAAAACTTCTTGGCTTTTGGTATCCGACTAACTAATCAATGGGAAGCAGTGCTTGACGTAGATGGTAAATAAGTTCCGTAGTAATTATTTGAATATGTCTTTGCTTAGTATTTCTATAGTTTCTTTAAGTAAAATTTGCTGGAAAAAATCCGCAATAATTATGCATCAACCTAATATATAAAGGCAGGTAAAATGCAGGAAAATGGAAAATATCAAAATGACCGTGTTTGACCCCCAGAAAATCACGTGTACTTTCACCAGATCACCAAACGAACGATCGCTGGAAAGTTACTGAGATCGCGGAATGAATGCGCCACCTTCCAATCTTTCTCGAAGTAGTAAAGCCTAATTTTGCGAATATGCGGATGGTTTTTTGTGTATATTCTTGTAGAGGAAAACAAGTGGATCATTTCTAGAAAAAACCCGAACTCAATATTCAAATTCTATCGAGAGAAAAAAAGCCGCGAAAAAATCCGCAATAATTATGCATCAACCTACGTAACTAAATACAGTTTCCAGCTCGAAAATGAAGCAAAACAAATGAGACCAGCGTATTAGAAACTTAGGAATACTGATCTTTAAATCATAAAAAAATATTCCAAGATGAGTAGCAAAGCTTACTTCGCAGTGGTGTTGATACAGAAGCAGAACGAGGAACGCTGTTAGGTGTAGATGCACGACTTCCCGCGTCACTTTTTCTTCCCTGTAAAAAATAGTCACAATTGAGAACAACGATGTAGCCAAAACTTTTCAGAAAGTAACCAAATCATCCACGTAAGTAAGAGCCATCGGTAGGGATTCACCAATGTCTCGGTCAAAAGACCTCACCGCAAATATAGGATTCGCCCAATTCCAACGACCTAGCTACCTAAAAGCTTTGCGTAACTTTACGCAAAGCATTTAGGCGGCTCTGTACATGGTACAAGAAGCACGAGAAGTTTGTGTTCTACACCTTCTTACCCTAGTTTGTGCTTCAGCGATCAAAGTTAGGATAACGTTGATCAATTCAGCTCGTTTTCGCCTTGAGACCAATGGAGAGCGAAAGCAACGGGACAGTTCAAGTGAGGACTATCTTCAAATCGTATCATTGATCATTAGAATCTGCACATTGATAATATTAGCACCTTCAACGATTATATGTGAACGTTCAATGGCTGCTTTCAGAGTTAAACGACATGCGTTGTTTCAACCGATGGCCGACCGACCGACCGCGTAGCTGGCCACACGCTGTCATCGCTCGACACCGATCGATACCGCTCACGCGGCCCTGAACGCAATCTGTCCTGCGTTATAAATGCGTGGCACGCATCGCGGACGGTCGGTTGGTCGTTGAAGTAGGTTGAATCAACGCACGTCGCTGACTCTGAAAGCACCCTATCACAAAATATGGGTGCGCAACGAGCGCGTAAGGCCATTTCCTTATTTGGAGATCATGAAGCTAACTTCAAGTCTGCAAGACACCGTAGTCCAGATCGTATCACTCGTAATAGATTCCGAGAAAAAGTTTAGGCGGTTTTATAATCCACTGCTATATCGCCGCAAGATGAAAAAAACACGTCACATGTCACTTGTTGACTCTACTCCGTCTCTGGCGAATTACTGCATTTTTACAGAGTGAAAGGATTGCACGTCATGAGAACTGATTTTTCGATGGGGCCAAAATATTCAGTGCTTCTGTTGATAAGAAGGCGCTATAAAATAGACGAAAAAATAATGTATGCGATACTTTTTTTTACAACATAATATCACATACGATCGTGAGAAAGGTTTACACTGTGGAGCCGTTACCTAAAAACTGTGCAATGTCTGCCTTCTTTTTTTCCTTAGGTCTTCTTCTCGATCATTAAATTTGTATCCATTTTTCAAAAGAATATGGGAGTAACACAAATCACGAGCACAAAGGTTGCTTCAGACTTTAACTACTAAATCGACGTCCGTCCACCCGTCCACCGCATGCGTGCCGCGACAGCGGTTCTAGACAGGTGTTGACAGCGCTGAATGACGATCGGTATTACAAGACGGTATGATGGAACTAGTCAACTCCTCAATTCGCGGTATCGATCGGTATTCAGCGCTGTCAACAGCTGCCTAAAACCGCCATCGCGGTACGCACGCGACGGACGGATGTCGGTTAAATCGTTGAAGTCTGAACGCAACCAATAAGGTTAAACTAACGGTTTGCATGGTCTTGGCAAAATTCTTCTTCGAACCTTTGAGAAACTCGATCTGAATAAAATATTGGGTTCCTCTCTACAAAGAATGAGATGTGCAAAGATGAAGCAACAAGCTTTTTGACATAAAATGAAGTTTGAGCTTTTCACCTTTAATCTTAGGAAATTTGAGTAGCAGAGAAATTTAGGGATACAACGCCTACCAGGCGGCCTATGTCAATTCGAATCTGTCAATGTTCTGATCTCGGAACTTCTGTATGCTTTTATACAAAATATACCGATTCCTAGAGCAAGAAGAAACCCTTGTAAAAATCCAAAGCATCAAATAGACCATTCTTTTATGCTTGATTTCAAAAAGTGTAAAATTCTTGCCATCAACTGTTAAGAATTGTACTGTCTATAATGTGTATAACAAACACCTTTTGTGTCCATCTCCGAAATAATTTATCTGTGAAAGCAATGAAACCTCCGATATTTCTAAAAAAGCTTCAACCTTTTAATGGAATCTTTTGTGAAGTCAATCGATTTTCTAAGTAGAATATGAGAATGATTAATTCGAAAACCTCGCTAGTTCCAGAAAACCTCTCTGTTAGGATATTTTTGTTATTTGAAGAGGTATTTTTTGAGCATTGCCTGAACGAGTAGGCCATCGTAAGAGGATGTGGTTTTAATAATAAGGACTATATGTGAACCACGAATAAGCCGTTCACTACCGCGGCAAGTACTCTGACAAAGGGTCTTGCGTGGACTAATCAAATCAGCTCGAAAAAATTAGAATGGTCTTTCAGCAACGTAGTAAAGCTTTACCTTACTGTGGCTTTAATCAATCATTTATGATAGTTCTTTTACTTGAGGTCGACCGTGCGCGACAATGCAGAAGACGATCGCCGACGCCGCGTTTCTTGAGCCGCGCTCGCGGTTATCGATTAGTGTGGTCTGTCTGTTCGCGGAAGACGATTACTATTCGCGAACCGCGACATTTACACTGCATTCACAAGAATAACGTAACAAAGGTACAACAGGGCCAGTTTGCGTTTGGGGACTATAAATAAAAGATGCTGGCTAAAAAAAAGAAAACTAAGCTTCTGAAGTAACAAAGTACTTCCCTGAAGTAAATTCTAGACGGCGAAAGGCAAGGAATCATAGGGGACTGTCAACAAACAGAGAATCTCCCGCATAAATCCATTTTTAAAATTGTAATACATGTTTTCCATATTACTAAACCGCTCTCACATTTACTGCTCAAAATTCTGGATTCCGCTCGAACAAATATCTTCAAAGATGAAAGGAATAGGATTTCGCTGAAACTTAACAACTCACATCGTCATCATGACCTTCTTTAGTCTTTCTTCTTTTGATTTTCGATGACTGGGCTTCTTGAATTTCCTTCTAGAACAGTATTTATCAGGAAGAACAGAAAAACTTCCCCACTGAAGTTAGAATAAAGAAGGAAAATGTGAACATGACATACTCACTTTGCATCTGGCAACATTTTCCGGTGTAAAAGCAAGAAATTTGTCCGCAGTTTCAGCTTGCGTTATTCTCTCATCATATCTCTTATGCCAACCCTGAAAATTGTGAGGAAAACCGTATAAAATGTACATTAACTGCTCGTAGAACTGAAATCCAAAGAAGATTGTTTCGCATTGAAAGCTGGAACAGAAACATACCTGATAATGGACAACGTACACCGGTTCTCCATCTTGCTCTGCGATTTCAGTTATTTTTGCTTCATAGTAGAAGAGCCCATGTTTACACATAACCTTGTCGTTAAGGTCGTATTTCTTTACTTCTTTCTTCGGTCCCATAACCTGCCAGAACATAAGTAGAAGGAAACGACAAAACGGCAATCGCGAATTTCCAGACAAGCAGAAATTATACAAACAATATATTCTGAAGTTATTGAACGCAATCGTTCCTGAAGAGAACATGTACCTATAAAGAAATTGATTTGAATAGACTTAATGGTCAGTGCAACGCAGCAGTTCTCGACTAATATGGTACAAAAAGACCCCCACTCTCATGTCTGTAGAGATTGCTCGCTGAAAGGGAACAAAAACATTTGCTCTTTCGATTATTTCTTTTTTTTTGGCAATTTTTACAGTCGAAAGCCGAATCTCAAAACGTTCTTCAAGAACAAAGCTTCATCAGTAAACGCGCGACAATGGATTCAAGGTCAAATCATATCAAAACTTAAGGAATATGATCGAGGTACAGGAACGACTTTCCAAAGAGATAGGTGTTTCTCTTGGAAACAATGAATCCTACAAAGAAAATTAGGAGGCGAAGAACAAATTGTAAGCATTTTGTGCGAAGCAGGAAGATCCTCGACAGCATGCGGTCGCTCCTCAAATCCGGTGAGCCCTACCGTGAAGAAAACTCGTCCGCTAAACGGGATCACACGGAAAATGGGGCGCAGATTAGAATGACACAATCAAATAAACTCCCAGAATTCTCATCAGATTGCTAGGAATGAGAAGGTTCCCGAATAATAAAGAAGTGTCTTGTTTCCAACTCCCTACGCAAGGGTTGCTTCCCTTTAACCTGGGAGAAAAAATACAAGGTACGTTGTTGACTAAATCGGGAGCAGAGGCAAACATTTAAAGATAAGTATATCTGTTTAGCAGAACAGGGTGGATACTAGTCTGAGATGGATAAAGTTGTCCCTTTCTGAACAAACCATGTGGGTTGAGTTAGTTAGCAGACGGATGAGTACGCCAAGTCCATGGGAAATCGAGGAAAGTTCACCCTCCATTTAGTTCAGGTTTCTTCAATGTGAAGTACAAATAGTTCGACCAACACCTTTCCCTGCGTAAAGCCGAGTTGGCTAGCATACAACTAGAGCTTGAGCTCCACTTATTTAGCACACCACCCACCTTCCTACTTCCCTACAAATTTATTCGCTCAGAATAAGGGACTGGTTTGCGCGCAACAACTTCCTATTACGGATGTGTCGAGTGAATGTTCGTTGCCATTTTAACATCACCGGACGCTTTCATAGTTCGGTGCCATTCAAAAAATCTAATGGGCGGCATAAAGCAAGCATAGCCACCCGACGCGCGTGGGCGCCCATCGCCTTTGCGTTGGAGCACGTTATTTTCCATCTGAGATATGGTGTTACTTCGTAAAAATTAACCTTTCTCGCGTTGTTCCATATGCAGCCAATCTAATGAAATTTTTCGAGGAGAGAACAGAAACGAGAGTGGAAAATATGCTACTATCAGACGGGAACAAATTCCATGAAAAGCAAGGTAGCACTGAACAAGAACTTTCAAGCACTATAGGTATGAAAAAAAGCATGAGAAAGAGCCGAGTAAAGCAGGCAACCTTAACGCTCGTAAAACTGCTAGAAGTAGCACCAATCGTCGACCCGAAGGGTAGCTTCCCGTCGGCTGGCATTGCTTCTAGGAGGCGTCGATCAGCGACGCTTGCCCTTAGCCACTCTTCAGCTTTTCTGAGGAGCACCGAACCGTTCTTGATAGTTGAAAGTGAGTATTTTGACTCGCTTCTATCATACTTTAACTAGATCCTCTCGTGTCCTACCTCACAACCTCAATAAAACTTATTGTTAATCCTCAAAACTGCTCGAGCAAAGTGATTTCACCTCAGCAGTCAAGCACTCAAACAACTTGTGTTTCTGGTGGATTTCTTTTTTTCACGGTTCATTGGGTGGGAAAGCTAGTTCGATATTTTGTTCCAAACAACATGAGTTCGAGCTGCTTGAAACGATGACTACCTTACAGACAAATTTCTTCGTTAACTTCAAAGTGGGATATCTTAACCAGACCTTTACATGGCCCTTATATGTAATGTAACCGTATCTGTCTGTGTGTCTGGCTCTCTTTCACGAAACCCGATGTTACATAAAGAAGCATCTGGGATCTCAAAATCTTCCACACTTCACAATTCACGAAAAAGCGATTAGAGCATGTTGCTTGGGGATTGCCAAGCACCAGAAACGGGCGGGGCGTGCACCGGGATGGGCGGAGATTTTGCCAAGAACCACACCCTATTCAAAAACTCCCTAGAGTCCGAAAAAAGCACTAAACCATGGCTCTGTCCACAAAGTTTTAGAGTCTTGAAAGTCCGTCAATATTTCTCACGATATGTAATGAATTCGCGACTGTCTGAAATTCGTAACGAGGTCCTGTAGTGTAACGGTAAGGGTGCTCAAACCTAAATATATCCTGCTTCTATTTCTTGCATCATTATTGATTCTGGGTAATCGCGTCTCATGTTTATGTTTCAAACATTTGTTTTCACATGGACGGAGGAAATGGGGATGTGAATACGTGAATAGATGAAATAGAACATATATCGCGCCGGCTGTGGCCGTCCTGCCTAAAGCTACCGTTGTCGGTGGCACAATCAAGAAATAGCCAAAAGTAGTGGAGCTACGGCGATGAGATCAGGAGCTAGGACTGGAGTTGAGGTAGGACGAAAGGCGACTTTGACGATGACAGGACGAAGATTGAATGGTGCGATAACTTCGCCTCAGAGGATTCACTAACCACTTTTTTCCCGCATTCTAAAACAATTTTGAACAAAGTTATGAATGTTTATCTTCGCCCCGCCCTCCTTAGAGCAGACCCAGCTTCAGGAATTTGACCACATTCCTTGCATGGCCTCTAACCGCTTACTTTTCAAGTTACAGAATGAATGCTTTTAAGCAGAGTTATGATTTTTTAAAAAAGAAAACCTAACATTTCCCCGCCTACTGCGAGCGGGGCTTCGATATGTTTACATATCCCAAGCTCGCCTAAGGCCTTGCTTACTTATTTTTTCTGACTCCACGCTTCCGCCGAATCCAGTTATGATCTTATGTGGCAAGTACCGCTCACTGCGAGAACGCTCCGCCCATCGCCGGTGAGTCTCCTTCAGTTCACTCGTTGGCCCATCCCTCACTTTCGCCCATTTTTTTCTCTGCATGTGGGCTGCTATGAAACTTACTTCGGACATTGTGTCCAAGACACCGCTCGCAGTCGTACATGCCCCGCCCCTTGTGAGCGGAGCTCAACTGAATTCACATATGCTCTGTTGGTCTTGCCCTATGCCCAACCCATCCCGAAATTGACCTGACTTCTTCAGGAGCTTCTTCCGGTAATTCCGAATTTCCGTATAAACAGACAGACAGACGCGAGCGCTTTAGATATAGTAAGAAAATATATAAATATATATTTCGTCACAGGCTGAACCCTGATGGTGATACACCGTCCCTCGCTCCATATAATCTCCATCGTTTCCAGGTGGACAAATGACGCATTTATCCGTAAAACATGCACGGTCATAAGGCCTATTGAAGATTAGTTGAAGTTTGATATTATCCCCCTGATAGGTTTATTAGCACAACAACATTATTCAAATCCACTTGTGCAATCCATTATCGGATTTCTGCGCTAATTTTGTCTGATGTGAAAGGAATCCGGAGAGACACGGTGTTCTCACGGTTTTTTGGAAAATGCCTCTCTAAGCCTGGTCCTCTGTGCTGTGTCCCAGAACCATTCAAATTTGCAATTCCAGATGCTAGTTTACGTAACTCCTACCGTTTCACTTCACCTGTACAAACTCCTGTCACTGTTTTGTACAAATTACGGATAGCTGCACTTTTTACAATTCCAGAGTGGGCAGACCTTGCGTGGAGTGGATGTTCTTCGAATCACGCGAAGATGCAGCCAAGAGCTTGAAAACGGATCTCACGACTACGTTTACAAAAGGAGGCATACCATGAAAAGTAAATCCGTAGACAGCAAAACCTTGTATGAGGCAATCGGCATCAGTAGAAAAAATACGATGTGCTATGCGTATTTATTTTGAAGGTCTAGGAAAGATGGTGAACCGAACACTAGTCATCTTATTGCAGGATGGTAATCGACGGCCAGTCGGTATAGAGTTCGGTACTATAAATGCAGTTGGTTGCACGTGCAGTACACGCCCGATTTTGAGCACACAAAACCTCTCCCTTTCCAAATGTAGGCCTTAGCCTTCGATATGGCGATACCGTCGTGGTGATTGCCTCGTATCATTTTGTGTAATTTCCATTTCAACTCACTGGTTTTCTGATGGTGGGTGATCCGCTTTTCCACTAATCTAAATGATAAATTTGTCTTCATTACGTTCAGTTTGCTCACATTTCTGTGCAGTTAGATCTGTGCAAGAGTAGAGGCCAACTGCTCGACACGCAGAACATGCACTATTCTGCATTCTTAAATGGAGTCTAGCCAGCAATTGCTTCTAAACAACTCTATTGCCCAGAAATGATTAGTCTTGTATTTGTGGCACTATATGCGTGGGAGCATAGAGTTGTAAACATAACACACTTTCAGTCTCATGATGAAACTAAAGAGAGTGGAACGTCAATCACAGGAATACCCCAAGCCGCGCAGATGAACAAACCAGTAGGTGTGCCCATTCACTCAAACTGAAAAGTCCTTCAAGCGTCAGGGCTATATGGCGAAGACCTTGAGCTTCGATTACGAAAGCCAAGGTGTACTAGATATTTAGCCCTTATTTTGTGTCCTAGGTTCTCTGAAGATATGTCAAAACATGACATTCTTCGGATTTTGTGTGCATATTCTACATTTCGGTAGATACAAGGTATCCACACAAAATTTGAGGAACACTGATGGCATCTTGCTCAAGATGTGAAGGAAAATCGGCTCAACACATTTTCTCACAGATGAAATTTTCAAGTTATTAATTCCATGGGGTGTACCAGTTGTAGTTATATTGCAGCCAGCACTTACGCAAAACGATCTCGCTGACAATACTAACTATTATGCAAACCTGGACCCTGATAAACTAGTCAATG